ATTGAACCAAACACGAAAACTTTCGCATCGAAGGGAAACCGAACGTCATCGTCGTCGAAACTCATCGCCAAATAATCGCCCCTTTGGGGTCGCTCGTCTGTCGGCATCAAAGGCACGAATTGAAACGCTAAGTATACTAACGGCACGGAGAACTGTGAATAGAATACACGAAGCAGCCACTTGTCCAATTCTGCTTTCGAGTCGTTGTCATCCCTACGAAGTCAGTCTTAACTGGCAGTTTTGAACGAGCGTCAGGATCCTTTCAAGTTTCGATACCTTCATGGATGTAGTACCCTTGGGGGTCTCTAACAAAATGCCGAAAGCCTAATATAACGAATGCGCGGAATATCGAAGGATAAATATGTTGAACAGCATAAATGTCGAATCCCTTAGTTCGCCGAACGTTGAATACACTGAAAGTAACACTATCTCGAAAAAATGCCGAAAACCCAGACGGATAGGTGAATGCGAAGTCAAGACCGTCAGACAGGAAGATTCGTATCAGACTGAGAATCCGCCATACACCGATGAAGATACCTGTTTTCTCTCCTCTTTTCTTGCGTGGTGTGGATTACGATTGGAATGAAGTTCGTGACTTTGCAGAAGGGAGGTCGCCTATTGCTCATTCACATATACGTGTTTCGGAAAGACGAAGCGGTGGCGACGGTTACATAGTGTAAATGTAGAAGTTGACTGTTGTGTGAGAGCAGTGACGGATGGAAATTCACTCCGCAAAGAAGGGATCGTTCATCCAGGTGCGCTGGAGGCTCCGTGCGCTGGAGGCGAAGTTGTGTATGAGACCAATGAAACGTGTGACATTACATCCTATTTGAGGGCCATTGCCCACAATGTGCAACTCTGAATTTGCGGAATGGCAATTAGTTTCCTTGATTTCTCCCCTCTTGACCTTTTTTAACTCATAGTTTATGCCATGTGATGACTATTTTTTTTGGAAAGTAGACTACTACGTACAGTGGCGTAGCGTGGTTGGCATGGGCCCTGGTGCAAGGAATGAAACGAGGCCAGCTGTCCAATTTCTTACTATTGAATTATGTGGGAGTCATACTTTTTTTAAAATAGATTTTCTCTGGCAGCATATAAATCGTCGTTGGTAGCTGAAGTCAGTGGAAGGCAGCGGGGGATACAAAAATTTTTCATAGCCCCCCCCCCCCCCCCCTCTGTCCTATCGCCTTATTCATTTTTCGTCTGCGGTAAAAACCCTGAATATCTATTTCACAGGAGCTAATAAACGTTAACTTATGTGCTTTCTACATTAAACGAGATTCGTTTTAATTTTGAAGTTTCATTTAGGGAAAAACAATGTTATTACAGAGCCAAGTGTTTCACGTGAATGGCATTTTCCCCATACTACTGTGCTAGGACGAAATGGTGTAACTTAATGCGAGAACATACCCGATCTCCCCGCTAAATGTCATCAATATCGCTGACGGCCAAATCACGCTTTCAATTAATCCAACCTGGCAGGAATGGATCTCCGACCACCTCCGACATGGATCCGCATTCTCTTATGATCCCGAGTCCCTTTGTGGAAGGAGTTTGAAACCTTGGTAGGATAATGAATTTTTTTTTTATTCAGTAATACCTTCGCTAGTAAATTATTGAAATCCTAGGTTGAAAACGGAGCAGAGCTTTGGTTTCAAATGAATGTAGGCAACTTGTCCCAAATTCGACTGGGTGCGTGGAGAAGTGAGCCTCTCGGTTCGGTCCGAGTTCGGACAATTGGCCGAAAATCGACTGGATACAGTGTGTGGAATTCGGGCTGGAACTATCAGTCGAAGTTCGGACAATAGCCCGAAAACCGACCGGGTGCGTTGAATTGATAGTCCCCAGTCTCGACCGAACTCGGACTTTAGAAATTCGTCTGTATCTATATAAACGCATCCAAGTGTCAGTACAAGTAGAGATCAAAGTTCCAACCAGAATCAGAGTTCATGAAAATCTCAGCCCTCTCATAAATTGCAGTCGTGGGCCACAATTTCAAATTCATAGGTGTTCATCATCAGTTGCTCCTGAGTTGGCTGGGGGAAAAGTTCCTGGTGATCGAAAATTTGAAGTTGCCTAAAAAAGTCCTTAACATGTCACGAAGTGTCTTTATTAAGAGAAATGGCTTTTAACACCACCATAAAAAATAATCAGAAGCGATTTTAGTGGATAAAATTTCATTCCCAAAGAACGATGAAGAAAAGTATGCACTCTTTGTCCCAATGTACAAGTGGAAGCATAATAAAATCACAATGGCATTATATAGTAAAGAGCCGCGCTTAAAATGCAATACATGAAGCATGAAAGGGAAATGGANGCCGAGGTCACCTCCTCCAAAGTCGGTGCCGAGTCGAATTCCACAGTGAAAACGGAAACAAAGAACTCGTTAAGTATACTGGCCATATCAAATCGGTCGGCGGGCCACATTCCTTACCCTGCAGATGCCTGCGCGCCACACCCATAATTTTTCACCGAAATTTGTGCCAACAGTCAATGCAAGCGGAAATTTCAAGAACAGACGGCGGGCCGGATGAACTACCTCCGCGGGCCGTATGTTTGACACCCCTGGCTTAACTGAAAACTGACTTACCCTGTCATCGAATGTGCCCGTGACATCAATTCAAAGATGGCGCCATCCATGCTACTCAGTGGTCGTAGTGTTAGGTGTGGTGAAGTACACGTTAGTTCACAAATCACATGAACTAGACATGATGCTATGCGGAACTGCAGAAAGGGAAGCGTCAAATCCCCCTTGCTTCTATTCCTCCATTAAGGTTGTGGTTACCTCATCAGTGGCGAAATCAGGATTTTAAGAGGGGGACTGCACCGCATCTAATACTTGAATTGAATGACGCCGAAAGTTGTGGTGGCTGTCACCCCTCACGCGCGAGGCCTACGATCCTACGCCATTCTAGGGCATCTACGGCCTAAAGTGCCAGGCCTACAAGGCTCTGCTATTCTGGACCATAGGCTAGGCCATAAAAATTGAAAGAGGCCGAAAGCGGTGGTGAATGGTTTTCACTCATCAGCCTAATACACAAGGCTATGCCATAAACACTTTGATGTTCCAATTTCCTTCATAAATCAGTTTTGCTACCAAATTTTATGTTAGTTTCGATTTTTATAGTTATATTTGCTGTGATTTCTTCTTCTAATCTTGCAGATACTTCAGATTTTGTGATAATTTTTCTTATATTGACTTCTGAAATATATTATTTTTCCTCACTTGTCGCTTTTTGAATTTGAAATGGTATTTTCCATTCTTGATTTATTTGTGAGGTGTGGTCTCGATGACAATAAAATTAGCTGAGCGGCAACACTTTTGAACTTCTCGAAGTTTGTTTGAAATTTTTTTTGTTTGGTTTGAACCAAACTGCTTCATATCTTTATGTAAACATTTTCACATTTCCACCCATTAAGATGGCCAGCATAGCGACTGCAGCCTAGTTAAAGTTGAGAAGCGACCAGGGTGAGGGGTGTGATGAGCCTGGTCATTGGGGTGAGAGGGCCATAGGCCATTAATGGGGAGTTTGAGCATCCCAGAGTGGGGGGTCTTGCTCCTCAGCGCCCACTCAACAACCTTTGTGGCAGATCTATTACAATTTGAATATCGTAGACATGTCTTTGTTTCTATGCATTCCCTGCTTAGACGGAAAACTTTGGCCTGGGTGTAAGCTTAAAAGTTCCTTGCGTAAAGTCAATTGCCCCTTCCTTGCCTATGCTAGCCTTGGACTAAGCCTACATTAGGTTAAGGCTCAATTTAACTTTGGTCGGACTGAGCCTAAATTCTAAGGGTACATATGGAATGAAAGTATCTTATGCTTTAAATATCACCAAATACCAACTCGTTACCAGAGTAGCCCAGATTATGGCTGGGGCATAGCATTGGATAGCTTAATTACCATTGGTATATATGTTGGAGGATAATATCTGTGTAAGACTTGTGATCTATAATAGGGCATCAGCTGAGGCTAAAAATAGGCTGAACAATACCAGTTAAACTTTGAGATGTAATTTATAAATGTTTCATCAACCAGTCCATTTACAAAAACTACAGCAAGAAATCCACGAATTGAATTTTCAATGGAATGAAGTGAGTTTTCCTTTGCTTGTAAGCTGTACACTCTTTTCTGATTGAATTGGTCTCCTACTCCCAGAAGGGTGCTCCCATTAATAGCATCAATTGACATTGCTTTATGCACATCATTCTCCTGAGTAATTAGAATTTCAGTGTGAGATAAATTATGGGCCAGCTACACAGATGGTAGTTTTGCAGTGTCATAGGAGAGCTGCCTGTGTGTTTTCATGAGACAATGTAAGGGTTGTTGCATTGAATGATGCACATCTCATGTTGGGTGAGTCAATGTGAGGACATGTATCCTGAATTTCAATTTCATAGCAATGTGGAGGGGAGATTCTTTTCATGAATCACTGTAGGTTTGACTACCCAGTTTCCAGTTTGAGGTTTGCAAGATTTGGATGTTCTTCATTATTCCATTATATTGGTTGCTATCCAAAAGTAATCTGTTATGACATTGAGAAGTTGCAGAATCTCATTAGTGAGCAGGAGATGTAGATAAAAATGAGGTGATGTCATAAATTTCATTTTACTCAACCCTTGTGAGTTGCATGGGTATAGACTAGGATGGTAAAAAAATCCTGTCCAAAGAGGAGTGGGTATTTGAGGTCATGTGTTGATATTCTTGCACTTGCTCTCTTCACTGGTTCTCTAGTTGATGTTGGTCAAATGCCAATTTCAGTTGAGGAAACATTGGGAAAGCATCAACATGGCAATTCAGCTGATGAATTCATAATTTTTAGAGTTAGGGCTGGGGGCAGGTGGCAATAAGCAGAGCTTATATTGCAATGATTTAGTGGATGGTTCCATTTGACAAAGGGTCATTGTGATGTAGGTTGAGGTATCATTAGTCTATGTCTTGGACTTAGCCTATGCTTGTGCTTATGCCTTAGCCTAAGCTTAAAAAATAGTGAATGGTCATTTTCTTATTCCTTTAAGCTTACATGTATTCCCAAGGACTCATGGAAGTATCTGGAGAGGCCTTGGGTCTGTTCAGATTTGTTAGCCCATTCTGGTCAATGTGTGCAGAGGAGAGGAATTGACAGCCTTGCCTAGGCTGAACCTAGGCCTAGCTGCCTCAAAATGCCTTCCACTCAAATGGCTCCCCTATCACCAGAAGAAGAGTTGGTGAGAACCCTCAATTGAACTTCCTTAGGTTGGACCTAGGCTAGCCTACCTTAGATTTACTGTAATAATAATGGGAACAGGATGGCACAGAGAGGAGAGACAGAATGTCCATGGGTTCAATGGTATAGTAGTGGCACAACAGACTGCCAATCAGGAGGCCCAGATTTTATTCCCAGCTGTTCCTTGGTGTTCTCTCACTCTCTCACACCTGATATCCATTCCCTGTAATAGTCATCAGGGTAGGAAACACAGAATGCATAAAGTGACAATGGAGTGGCTGCCCCTACCATGACTAGTTTTAAGAGGCTTGATACCTTCATGAACAAAGCTGAAAAGGGAGTATAAGTGGCTTTAAGCAACTAGGCAGTTGGTGGTAATGCTTAAAAGAAAAAAAGAAAGCCTATCATCAAGAGGGGTAGGCCTATCTTACAATCATCAGAATGCTTGACCTCGACACTAGACGTCATATTAGGTGTATATGCCTCCTGAGATCCCTAAGAAATCTTGAAATCAGCAATGTGCTATTGAAATTCAGCTGAATTTTCCTGCAAGCTTCCCAGCCATTCAAAGTTTTCTATTAATCATGACATATTTTCCCATCCTGCAGGCATAAGTTGTTGGATTTGGTACCCAAGTCATTACTCATTTAACTATCTGGTTATTCCCAAGAGTATGAATTCCAGTTGACCAATTAAATACTTTTTCCCTGTAGGTGACAAAGGCCTTCATCAAGCGTGTGAATGATGCCAGACAGGAGAGAAATGGAGGCCCCATTTCCTGGAATACAGCTGTCAAGTTTATGATGGCTCGCAAGTTCAGCCTGGAAAGGGCACTACTTCTCTATCAGCTACATGAAAATACTCGTGCACGTGAAGGCTTGGTGAATTTTGACCCCACCAAAGACCCCCTGAGGAAGGAGTTAGAGACACAAAAGTTCACCATCTTGCCCAAACGTGATTCGAGTGGAGCAGCAATTGCTGTTTTTACTGCCCATCTTCATGATCCTTCTTTGTCCTCTCACGTCACAACACTCCAGGGGATTGTATATCAGTTGGATGTGGCTCTGGAAAGCACTGAAACACAGCGGTCGGGCTTGATATTCATTTATGATATGACGGACTCAAAGTATGCTAACTTTGACTATGACTTGAGTCAGAAGATCTTGACACTTCTGAAAGGAGCATACCCTGCTCGACTGAAGAAGGTGTTGATCGTTACAGCACCCTTGTGGTTTAAGGCACCATTCAAGATCCTAAGACTTTTTGTGAGAGAGAAGCTCAGGGATCGAGTATATACTGTCAGCACGCCTCAGGTGAGCTCATTTGCCTCCTGTTGTGATCCCGAACACATAGGGCTAATTTAAGAGTTGAGGACTAAATTACTATGGAGTAGTGTTCAGGAGAATACTTTTATATTCAAGGGAAATTAATTTATTCTAGAAGAGCTACCTGAGCAGAGGTGTGAATAGGCAAAGGTTGACTCCCTAGGAAAATTAGCGTGACTAATGATAGCAAAATAGTTAGTCTACTTTTCAGACTTTTCCGAGAGAGTTACAACACTACAAAACTACTTACAACAGTAAGGTAAATAGTTAACATTTTAAACACCTTTGGTTCAGTTTCCAGTCAGTTGTTGGGATCCCTCTTCCAGCTGATAGGACCCAATTATGACTGATCAGTTGTAAGCATAGCATCCTAAACTAATGTCATTTGTGATAGATCATAGAGCACCCCCAATCAGCACAAAAGTAGTTTTTCTTGTGGTGGCTTTGAAATTCCAGAATTGTGTGGAATAAAAAAAAATATGCAGCCATAGAGTGGATAGACAATTAATTAAGCCTAATGAGTTTGAGAGGGAAGATTTGAAGGGTAGTTGCTAAGGTATGGCCTCATTGGCACCAAGTAAGTCCTTAGGGTAAGACCATCTAAGTTCAGGCACTCTAATGGCCATTTGATAAAATAATCATTTATGAGGTAGCTCATTGATTAAGTTCTTCCCAGCACAAAGTGAAAATTTTTACTGAGTGAAAGACGTGCAGTGACCACGATCATTTTGTATGACTTGAAAACATTGGGCCTCAGTAAATACTATATCACAGTCAGGAGAGATTTAAGAAAATGTAGAGACAACCTTACTGGAGAAAACCTTCACATATGCTGTTTTTATATTTGTTTTCTGTTTTTCAATTCTTACTCCTCATTTAACTAGGGGAACATAAAGTACTCCAATATAGAATGTACACATTATGAGTAGATTTCTGCCTTACTCCTGCTGTCCAAAACAAGTCACATTTGAACTTAATTTTTTTGCATCTTGGTTCAGACACCCACATAATTATGGCTTGGCACTATCAGAAGCTATAAGGCTTCAAAGGACAACATCTTTATGACACTCATACCTACTCATATCATGCTCCCAGACACCAAAAAGAAGCATTCGGCTTGTACCATTTAAGCATCATAAGCAAATTACAAGTGTCTCCCAGCATAACTGTCTGGTGAATTCACCCTATGGTTTAACCTTTCTCCCCCACCAAGCAATTGACTGGTGAGAGTGAAAGTTTCCTCCTCTGTTGCAATGAAAGATGACAGAATTAGTAGGCAAATTCTCCTCCACTACATTCGGGGGTAGTAAATAATTTCCCCTTTGCATCCTTGCACTTTCAATAGTTCTAGTTGAAGCATTGATGCTTTCAAAATAGCCACCATGACGGCCTTACACACAGGGAAGGGCTAGCTGAGGTTTGGCCAGATAATACCATGGGTGTATAGCAGGGGTTATGCTAAGATTCTTGCCCTGGCCTCCTGCTCATGCATCCCAGGGGTCCCTGGACCCTTGGGACGCACAGGCGGGAGGCCTAAGACTGCTTGGTTACAAATACACATGGATTGCTGGACTTTAGCTTTTGGGAAACCCATCAAAGTTCTCTTGTGCTTCACTTGGAAAGTAACCCCCTTGATTATCAGGGGACCCTTTCATATCAGACCTGAGGGTCCCAGGGACCCCTACAGCAAGAAACTTTGTGCAGCCCCTGATGTATAGGGAATGGATATTAAGCATGCCCATCAATTCACTTGGGGTATGACTTTTTCTTACTTAGATCTCAACAGATTCAGCATTGAGGTAGCTATCAGCCACTCAACTGAGATTATAGCTTCAGAAGATTTTGGAATTATATTAAAAATGGATGCACTCCTAGTAGTAGTAGTAGTTCCATGGTGAACAAGGTTTGGATTGAGTGACTGTACCAACTCTAACTAGTCGTAGTTCCAAAAGGGTTCAACCTTTTCTGGGTTGTGTTTTTTTTGCGTATGACTGGGGGGGGGGGGGGGGGGGCCAAGGGGGGGGGGGGGGCGTTAGTTGGGAGGCCCATGGCATGGGGACGAAGTGAGTGCCGGGAGCTAAAAAGAAATCAAAATAGTCATTTTCCTGCATGAGTGAATTTCAAAATAAGTATAGGGCCCAGGGGGGGTTGGAGAGACCCCTCTTAGATCTGCGCAGAAATGCATTTTGGGGGGGGGGGCCAATGGGAGGATGTGGTGACCATGTTAAAATCCACTAAGCTCTAGTCCAGAGGAAAAAGGAAGTTAAATCTTAGTTTTTCAATGGAAACTATCAGCCGGTCTACCATCCAACAACACAGATGCTGGATAGACTGCATTGTAATTGACACATTGCCTCAAAGCAATTAGAGATGTTCTGAACTAGTTTTATGAACATGAACTATGAACAGCAAATGTGCCAGGGTTACACTATATATACTTTGTAGTTTTTTTTAATTATAAATAGACTTCATAATTACCACATTCTCCATTGCACAGCCTGAAATGGGCACACATTAAGAGATGGATTGGGAGTTGAACGAGCCCCAAGCTACTCGGTGACATTCCGATTGACTAAGACCTCCATTTGACCCAGTTATGAATACATTTTTCCCATTGCATACTATTCAACATTGTTAGTTGCTAAATGTTGCCATGGATTTATGACTAATAAGTATTCATTAATAATTACTGTAAAAAAAAAAGCATGATTCACAGAACCCACATTCAGGTCAGAATGGCCACTTAATGCCTTGAAGGCCTAAAAAAGATTACATATAATGCATCTTAGAACTGACTTTTCCAATTACCTAAACTAAATGGGACTGGAGGAGCTCAGATTATAACTTTGATTAAATGGGCCTTTCTAGAGTCTTAAGTGTCTGTATTTAGGAAAAAAAAATCAGTATGGTAGCTCCCTCTTATATTAGACCACTCTTTTCAAGATGTAAGTTCTTTTTTTTTTGTCAGTTCAAATCTCTAGTGAACTTTATTTAGTAGTACATCATAAATGCTTTGTTGTTTTTACTGCTTCAGATAAATGAAAACTTGGGAGAACTGATCTTCTGCTTTATTACATTGGAAATCTCTTGAATTGATGAATGTAATGTGGCTTGCTTTGCAGCTGTGGTCCCACATCCCCATTGATTCACTACCAAAAGAGTTGGGGGGAAAGTTGGAAGTGAATCACACAGGCTGGTTGATTGAATGCCTTCAGTCAGTCACATATCAAGGCAGTGACTTCACTGACTTTTCAGCTGATCTTCTCCTCACAACTCCTGGGAAAAATCATTCATCAAGTTGGGCTGATGTCTCACACTCACAAGGGAGTTCAGAAGAAGGCCAGCCAAGTGTTGAAGGAAGCCAAGGCTCTGATGATGGCCTCAGTAGTCGCAAAAAGAGCTTTGACAAGAAGCTTTCAGGACTGGTTCTTCCCAATGGACATCCCCATTCCACACCATCACTTGCAAGTGAGGGAAGCGAGGACGAATCATCAGCCTCACTTCCAAGTGAATACTCACACCCAATGAACATGGAGCAGCTTCTTGAACATGTTAAGAGCCATGGAAAGGCAGGACTGTATGCAGAGTATGCTGAACTGAAGTCTTCATCTCTGTTTGGCTCATTTGAGGTTTCAAGATCAAGGCCAAACGTGTGCAAGAACCGCTACACAGATGTCCTGTGTTATGACCACAGTCGTGTGGTCCTGGAGAAGCAGGAGGCAGATCCACATTCAGACTACATCAATGCCAATTTCGTGAATGGATACAAGCAAGAGAAGGCATTCATATTCACCCAAGGCCCACTTCCAAGGACTTTCTCAGACTTCTGGCATATGATCTGGGAACAGCAGGTGCTTGTGATAGTGATGACCACAAGATGCATGGAACGTGGTCGGAACAAATGTGGTCAATACTGGCCAATTGAACAGGGCTCCTCAATCATAATCGATGATCTGTCTGTTGAGAACAAATGTATATCTGAGTGTGAAGACTTTGTTGAAACCATGTTACATTTGAAAAATGAGGCAAGTTGATTTTCCGTACTTCATAATTCTGCCTTAACAGCAGGCTTTACTGTGCAGCTCATTCTATCATTGGTAGGCTCTTCTACAGCATAAATGAAGAATAAGGTAATCCATTCCCAGGAATCTGATCAAGGCAAAATTCAGAAAAAGTGCAATGAAAAATATATTCCATCAGTTTTTTTATTTTTTAATTGTCCTTTCCTGGTGATACTCCACCTATCAGAAATGCCTGTATATAAGAGTGAAAAACCACTAAAAGAGGTTGTTTCAGAATGCTCTCCTGGGAATTTTTTCTTCAGGGAGGAGAGACTCGGGAGGTGATTCATCTCCAGTTCACTTCCTGGCCAGACTATGGAGTTCCCCAGTCAGCTGCTGCTATGTTGGGCTTCCTTGCACATGTGAGAAGAACACAGGCACAGCAGGTGGCAGCACTAGGTGATAATTGGAAGGGACACTCTCTTGGCCCTCCCATTGTGGTTCATTGTAGTGCTGGTATTGGACGCACTGGTCAGCATTCTTTATCCATTATCTCTATACATATATATATATATATATATATTTAAATAATACACATTGACAAGTTTGTTTCTACCCTTCAGGTACATTCTGTACGCTGGACATCTGTCTTCATCAGCTACAGGCAGAGGGAGTGGTAGATGTCCGAGGGACAGTGAAGCAGATCCGATCTCAGCGCGCCCATTCCATTCAAATGCCAGATCAATATGTTTTCTGCTACATGGCTCTCCTGGAGCATGCTATCACTGTTGGACTCCTTTCTCCAGATAGCCTTGAGAACCTTGATGGTGATCACACTGATTCTGACTGAATTTTTCTGCAGTGGTTGGTGGTTGGTTCTTTTCTCACATGTGTTCTGTGTCATGAATTTTCCCATGCTGGCATGAATCCCATTCCCATGCTCAATTAGTTGATGTCCCTATCATCCTTTTCCCATTCACACTCAAGCAGTATTTTCTCTGAGCAGGAGAATATCCCCAAGGCCTAAGAAGGTTGGTTGATGCTTGCAAGGCTAAGCCTTGGCTTGGCCCATGAGCAAACCCATACAAAATTCAGAGATTGCCCAAAATTAAAATAGTTAGGATTTAGCACTCTACACCTTATTCAGTATAAAGTGTGCCAAAATCATCTATCTCCATATAATACTTGTCATGATGCTTTTCTCTCCTGAAGCATTGTAAGCTCTTATATTCATGATTGATGATAGAAATACTGGTAATTGGCAAGCAAAGCATCCACTGGGCTTGATATAATTTGTTGCTGTATTTTCCTAAATGCAAATCTACAGTGAGAGGGTGTGTAATTTAATTTCAGAGTTAGCAGAATGGGGAGAAATTCAGCATCAAATGCTCAAAATTGCTAATTGATAAACATTGCTTAGCACTTTTGTTTGTCAATATTTGTGCTACTGGACAAATACTTGCCTTTACAAGGTACATATCTATCCTGCACACAAACATACATTTTGAGTTTAGTGTAAATTACTCATGAGGTGATACATGCTTATGCTCAAGCTTTTCAATTCTAGCATGTGTGAAATACTGAAGGCATCAAGAAGCATGCAGTCTGGATATGGGAGAGTTTACTAGCACTATCAGTTTGAAAGGAAACTCAGCCTCTCTAATGATGGAATAACTTCAGGAGTTATTTTTCATGACAAGCCCATTTATCTAAGAATTTCTTCCCATCATTCAAGTTTCATGAAAATATATTTTTTCTACTTTGCCCACCAGATTTTTTAGGTATTTATATGTAATCTGATACTTTGTTGGCTTCAGTAGGAACTAAGGAATCCTCAGTAGGATTTGAAAACATCAGTGCATAGTCTAAATAAAAGATGGCACATTGGGGAAATGATTAACTGGTCCCAAACACTATGAAGGGGGTCAGGGGAGGAGTGAGTGGTTGAGGATCCTGTAATTTCTTGAAATGTCGGGAAGGGAGTGCCTCGTGTCAGTCTGGGTTGGAGGGATTTACCTTCCATAATTTCTTGCCATGATGGAGATGGGGAGGGGATCATCACAGTGGCTGATAAAGTCATTGATGAATTGTATGACAGCCCAAGTAGGGGCATCTGTTAGTAAATGCCCAGTCTTTCTCAAATATTAAGCAATAGTTGAAAAAATCAATTTCACTACAAGGGTATTCATAAAACAAGTGGGAGTTTCTCCTGCTCACAATCCTAAAAGGCTACCTGCAATTGCATGCATGAATGGCTTGACACAAGCTTGTATCCCTCCTGTGATCCCCTTCCCCAAACTCACTTTCTTTTATTGTGTAAGGGAATAGATTTTTTTAAATTGTGTATACCATAGCTTGTGAATTGATGGTTTATCATCTCCTTTATTCTGCTAAAGTACTAGTCAGCTGAAAGAATATTTATTCAGATTGATCTTTTTTTTTTTCATTGTTCCACCCTGCAAGGAAATTGGCTTGCCTTGCCTTGCAAGGAGTTGGTCTTATGAAGTGTCTTGTACCTTTGAATAAACTGTTCTCTTTGTGATTGTCAAAATGTGGTCATGATGTCTTTATTCATGTCTGGAGGGGTTTGGTGTTCAGGAGTATGTGTCATCCATGTTTTGTTGGGAGTAAGCATCATCCTCATGACTCTCATCCCTCAGCATTGATTTCAAGAATCTGGAAAAGTATGCTGGTTTCATGGCCTGCTCTGTGGAGATCAGCATGGGATTTTTCACAAATGATGTGGATAGAGGTGGTTCCTCAATAGGGGGTGCTAGTTGGGGGGACAAATCCTCTGTATCATCGGGATTTCTCTTTATGTGCAGCATGGTATTGGGAGGGCAAATGGGGTGGCCCTCAATGTCCACCAAACCAGACAATGCTTGAACACCTTCAGATGGATTCCAATGTCTTACAATCTGCTCGATTTCAATTGTCTTGTGATGAGCATGGAGGAGCATGAGAGCAACCACAGATAGAAACAGAGCCAGCAGTCCAACACACAAGGCACAACATGCCAGCTTTGCAGCCCTGGAAATGAATCGGTGCATCACCGATTGAGCCATCACAAAATGGAGATCACTTGATTAATCTTAACCCTATCTGTCCACCAGAGTTCCATATCTGCAACACCCAGGAACACTCTCAATATGCTACTTTGAAGAAATTTTTTAATATGCCCAACATTGCACAATTGTAACATACCCCATGTTTTAGGAGTGCTGCCCTAGGGTTACCATACATCCAGTTTTTCCTAGACATGTCCTCTTTCTTCGTTTTCCATCCAGGAAGAAGGCATCCAATGGGTTACCATACTTGTGTATATTTTCCCTAGACATGTCCTCAATTTTTGCCTACAAATTTCTGTCTGTTGGGCATCCTCATTTTGGCTGTCTGAAATATGGTAACCCTATGCTGCCCTCTTTGGTTGAATATAGAAAACAGTGGTAGGACCCAAAGAATTTAAAGGAAAAAAATATTGCAACAGGAATTCAACATTCAGTAATCAGGGTTAATCAGGGCACTCATGGGAGTTTTGTTAATGCCTCTAGGCTGAGATATGCACTGTGTACTGTCTGTATACAGAGAAACAATAGATCAATGCTAGAATTTACCAGAGAAATACAAATTTATCAACCAGGTTTTTTTTCTATGACAATTACATCACAATATTAGCTCTTAAATACATCGTTTATCTGATGGAATACTAAGTAAAAGCCAATCAATCCCAAAACTAAGTCCAAACAGCCAAACATATCCATGAATATATTGATGACATTGCTAAAATCATTCACAACCTACTTAATACTGTCCTTTCATTGTGGGTATTCAAAAAACAGAAAAAATGTAAGTGTTATTGAGTCATTTTGCAGTTTCTCTTCAATGTATCTGAGTGTAAGTGTAATTTTCAAAAGAATGCAGTCCAATGTCCTCGTATTTCAGTTAGATAAAACATTTTCCTTACCTACTTATAAATCTTTCAAACATTCCAACAAAACATTTTGTGGGGGGCACAAAGAAGAGGAAGACAAAGAGGAAAAACAGCTAATACTTGCTAACCTGTGCCATATGTTCCTTGAAGGTAATAAACATTCACCCTTTCTTGGGACTCTCATATTTGATTTTGTCTGGATACTTGACTAAAATGTCTGAAAGGGGAGATTGAAATGTGCATAATTGGAGCCATGAGCTATTCTTGAAATACTAGATCATTATGTCTAAACCTACTCTGACCCCTGCAGCTCAGTAGCAGGATATGCAAACAGGGGCCACTTTGAAAGCCACCAGGTTGGAGGAGGTGACATTTTCATTTAATATATAGTGTCTCTCGATGACATCCTTATCCATCACGATGTATATTTTTAAAAAACTTCTCCCCCCCAAAATGTGTACCCCCAGGGAATATACCTCCAAAGTTGGATTTTTTTTTAACTCTGCATCCCAAAAGGTACATGTGTACCAATTTTCAGATTTCTAACCCTTCTAGAACATGGTTAGAATTAGCATGGGGGCATACTTTTTTGGGGGCCGACGTTTTCAAGTTTTTTTTTTGTCCTGGTGTATTGAGCTAGTGTGGAAAGATGAAACTTGGTACATAATTGCCTTCCAGGATGCTGCGTGCAGAAAAATTCAGAGTTTGGAATGAAATGCCCTGGGGGCATAAATTTCAAAGGGAGACGTTTTCACATAATTTTTTTGCATTAGTTAAACCGATAGACAGAAAAAGCTGGAACTTTGCATGAATGCGACTACCAAGATAAGGTGGTAAAGAAAAATGTTAAGTCTTGATACATCCCCGGGGGAAAATTTCTCTAGGGGCGATGTATAAAAGAAAAGAAATTGTCGTGGCGAATTGGACAGAAATGGAAAGGTGAAACTTCGCACACGTATAGGTGACGTGATATTATTGACTTGAGGGAGTATTCAGCTTTCATGGTGCATTCCCTACGGGCATAGCTTTAGAGTGGGTCGGCATTTCCAAGCATGATTTTTCAACAGAGAAAAGGGCAAAGTATAAGATTGACACTTTGTGGGCATGTAGTTCGCTGAGGTTTGATTTAGGTGAATATGTTACTTTCCGGTTAAAACGTCCGAGGGCACATATTTAGCAAATTTTCCTGAATTTTCTGATCCAGCAAAATGGAGGGTGCTAGAAAGTTTAAACTTGGCAAAGAAGTACCTGATGATTAGCTGAGTAAAGACATAATTCTACTTTCATATTATATATAGACGATCGTGACTGACTGACTAATATAAGTACCTATTCACATGCTGAGTTCAAGAAAAATTCCACTTGGGTGATACACGCCATAGGGGTGCATCTTTTCGAGGAACATATTTTTTAAATAGTTCTCTTTGCTTCAAACAAACGGAGACCCATGGAAAGCTGTAACATGGCAAGAACGTGACTGGTGAAGCACTCAGCTCAAATGTCAAATTTCCAAAATATTTTTAGGGGGCATATTTCTTGGGGACGTAACGTTTTCAAAGAATTTTTAATATCCTAGCGAATCGGGCAGAAATAGAAGAATAGCAGCTATCGCACGCATAACGGCCGTGATGTTGATTTAAGAAAAAATTCAACTTTTGCTGAGCGTTTTCCCAGATCACAGCTTTTGGATGGGAGCTGTAACATGGCAAGAACGTGACTGGTGAAGCACTCAGCTCAAATGTCAAATTTCCAAAATATATTTAGGGGGCATATTTCTTGGGGATGTAACGTTTTCAAAGAATTTTAAAAATCCTAGCGAATCGGGCAGAAATAGAAAAATAGCAGCTGGCGCACGCATAACGGACATGATGTTGATTTAAGGAAAATTTCAACTTTTGCTGAGCGCCTCCCCAGAGCACAGCTTTTGGATGAGTTGCTTTTCCAAATATATTTTTTACCGCCAGCAAATAGGGGAAACGTATATGGCTGAAACTGGGTGGCGTGGTGTTCCCTGAGTCTATATTTCAGAATAAAAAAAGATTTTCGTTAAAAATAATCAGGGGATTTTTTAAAGTCCCATTTTCGTGAAATATTTTTCGATCCAACGAAACAGAAACAGAAAATTTAAAATTCCCTCAGAAGTACCTTTTTCATGGCTGAGTACAGGAAAAATCCTACTTTTGAAATATGCACCCTTATCGTAGATTATAGGAGGGAAGTATTTGAAAAAGTATTATCCACCCTTACAAAAAGGGATACACGAAAAGATTTCAAGTTAGGCACACTAGAAATAATAGAAGTAATGATTTTGATAAAAATGGAGACTTTCGTCCCCGTATGTCACATATTCCAATGGGACGTACTTTAAATTCGTGTTTGCCAATTCGCAAAGAATAAATGAATTAATCACTATCCAAGGTAATGGAGCGCCGAAGGCGCGACCACAGCAAGTTTGTTTGCCCTTCGGGCAAACAACTCGCTAGTAATAGTATACAGTCAATGCTCGATATAACAAACCTCTATATTTTCAAATTTTCCTCATAACAAATTTTTTTTGTCTGCCCCTTCAAGTTCATTATATCAAGTGTAAGCAGTACATGAATCAGCCAATATTGAGGGCACAACCCCAATTATTATCATTGTAATGCATGTGACACATTATTCCAATCAGTTCAGAATCTAAGGCAAGAATATGACAGTTCACTGTGTGATGCCATCATGATGATGTACCACTGTGCTCCTTTTGACAACCTCCTTCACATTTGAGTCACTTTTGAAAAGCCCTGCTTCCTCCCATGGCACACAACAGTAGCATATCAGTAGTCTACTCCCAGTACTATAAGTGGATTACTATTTGGAGAATGCTAGACTGCAAAAGTATCCAGATTCCATCTTTTTCCATACCAAAAAATAAAAGGCCACATGGAGATTGTCCTGCCTGAAAGACACAGGAGAAGTTGTAAATAAGCTAATTAATTTTTAAGTATTTTGCATAGTACAAAGTGGCACAAATTCTGGAATGATATAGAACTCTGTCTTCTTGAACTAGGCGACATTAAAAATGCCAAAAATGGCAGTAAATTCTTGGCTTGCCATTCAGATATACTAGAAATGGGTACAACCCAGGAATATTAATGATGTTGAAAGCACAACTGATGCTACAAATTAGGGCTGTACCGGTGACCACATTTGGCCGGTGGGCCGATTATTTTCTTATACCTATCGGCCGTTACTGGTGCCAGTGCCAGTGCCTATTGTGACGTGTAGAGAAACAGCAAAAAAGCATTTGACAAAATTTTTTAAAAGTCTAATAGACATATTATGAATGCATGTTCAATCTTATTATTGCTTCCACACTGGGTGTTTCTAATACACCCATGTATCGACCTGAAACATCGATAGTGCATCAATGCCGGCAGGGGATGGGGGTGGGGGTGTTGGCAGATTCAGTCTCATCTCACTGCGATTGGGATCAGGTTTCTGCCTCGTTTCCACCATTTCTTGCCTCGATCAAGGCGCAGACCTTTATCTGCCTTCCATAATCTGTTGCCTGTGTTTCGAGGAGTTGGAGGGGGAGGTGTGACCTTCACAATGGTGATAAAGCCTACCATACCTCAACTATCGAAAATGACATCAATACATCGATGGATGAACTGCGATAGCCCTAATTTTTCCCTATAGCCGTTGAGAATCGGTTACCGAGCCCCATTCACGTGGTATTTTTTTTCTTTTTCCTCATTCAGCATGTTCTTCTTTGAACATTGGCACCGGCTGGTTCCAAACCTGCCGATGGCTGATGTGGCCAATAGTCCAACATCAGTGGCCAATACCAGTGTTAGCCAATACATCGGTACAGCCCTACTACAAACACATTATAATATGAAGAATGTACATATCTTGGGCTTAATACCGACCCATAAACATATTGATACAATACTAAGAAAATATACAGGTAATATGGTAAGAGGTTGTAAGGTTGGGTGTCCCACTTAAAAACAATATATTGTGGTAACCATTGCTACAACGATACATTTGGTCTCCCTGGCTAGCAAGAAAAATTCTCTTTACATTCTGGTGGCAGAAGACATATCAAGTTGACAAATTGTCTAACATGCCTGTTAACCCTTCCTGCACTGCTGACAAGTGAGAACCACATCACCCATTTTCCTGTAGCATGTCAATGACATGTCTCACCTGTCAGCCCACATTCAGTCATCCAGTCATATAGCCAGCCATACATTCAGTCATTCTGGTGCAAGTTGATTCATTGTGCTCTGGCAGCAGCAACTCCAGCCAGCAAAACATTTCCGGCATGGAAAGGGTTAACATTTGTTCACTCATTTTGGAAATGGAAACATGGCTCACGGATTGGAGGATTCCTTGCTGTTCTTGTTTTCTCTTCTGTCTGATTTCTCCAAGTTCTGAGTCATGTCTAGCCTTGAAGATGGAATTCTCCCATCCACAGCAGGAAGCACCACCTCTGCATTCTCTCCTATTTCCTCTGTTGCTGCTTTCCTTGCAGAAGCTTTGGAAGGAACTAAGCCAGAGTACTGTAAAGCTTCAGATGCTTCACCTGGTGGAATGACTGGAGCTGGAATCCCACTGGGTATAATTGTGAATCTTCCTGAAGAGAGCTATTGGTTGCAATGCACAAAGTTTCAAACCAGCCCTTTGACAAATAGTTTATTTAGTGGACCTCCTCCTGAAGCAATGGAAGTATATGAACTTTGATGAAATTTTAAGGGATACCAACCAACATTTCATGAAACAGAAACATTTTAGGATCTGCAGTACAATTAAATGCAGTAGCAGCACCACAGTGAGTGCTGCACATTGCTTTTGAGGTTAAACTCTCTTTGTACAGCATGAAACAATGATATGCCCCACAGAGATGGTTATGTCTATCTATCCTGATCAGAGATGTTTATAAAACAAATCTAAATTTTAAGATAAGTAGAAACTTAGAATAGCAGGGAAAACAAAAAGAGCAATATTGAGCATTTCTTAGCAGGAGGTGGTTCATAATCAGGGGGTAAGGGGGAGAAACTATCCTTTCAGGGATTCTACCTAGGAACATGAGTTGCATCACAAGGGAAGGTATAGTCCTTGTGTTTTCCATCATAGCTGCAGCAGTCACCATTCTCTGGCATTGTGAACACCAAGGCTGACTGCTCAGTACTCTGCTTGGATCTGCTTCAGTGATTTGCATATCACTGTCAGCTGAAAGACTAGAAAAGAAGTTGAAAGGAAAAAATAAGCTGACCTATATTGGATAGCACAAGGACAGGTGCAGGCTGGCCTTCCTCCACAGGTGCAGTCCCCTTCCCCTCTACTAATCCCAACTCCACTGAATCCCAAGGGTGGCTCAGATGGACAATTGCACATTGCATATGCAAGTTTGCAGTCACACATAGTGGCTGCATCATTTCAAGCTCTTAAGTGAAGAAAATCTATGCATCATCCTTTGAAAAGAACAAGAAGGGATTATAGACCTGAAGCTGTCTCAACCCCAGCCTTGGCTCTGGTGGTTCTTGTGGTCACATTTTTGCCCAGGTTGACCAGAAACAAGGCAAGTCTTCTGGCTGTTGCTCTGCCTTTAGGCTCCAGGTAACCCCAAGAAGTCACATCCTCCTGGCAATAAAAAAGGTTTGCATAACTCTCAGGCATTCACATTTTCATAGACCTGGACCACCTTCTTCCATTATGTAATTTATCGCAAATAGAAGAATAAGGACTCACATCAGTTGGAAGCCAGGCCATGATAATGGGATCTCCATTATCCTGCAACTCAGAAATTAGCATGCCCAGTTCTGAATTCCCATCCCTCTCTATGCCAGCATGGGTTTTCATGAGAGCATGGGAAGTGGATGAAGAGCTCCTTTTGCTGTTTGTCCTTCTACCATTTGGCAAACTCTGTTGCAGAGGAAGCTGGGTTAGAGACTTAGTCCTTATTTTCTGGAGGACTTTTTCAATGTTGTCAATGTGAGAGTGCACAAGATGAACAGTTTCACTTGATTTGGATGTGTCCCTCATATCCAGGAACTCATAATTACTGTCTTGCATGTCTGATTCCCAACCACAAGGATGCCTTCTTTCTGCGCTGGGACCTCTTTGTCTACTCTGCTGATGCCAACAGAAATCTTCAGGAACCACTTGATGATGACAAATCTGAGAATGCAGGTAATTATGATACAAAAGATGACATGGGAAAGTTGTTCCATCAGAATCAAAACATACCCCATAGATGAACATTTGAGAGCAAAAATAGCATAGGGCCACCTCATGATTCCCACATATCTCACACAGATCTACAACATAACTTGACTCCAAGGGAGTCTCATGAGAACGATGGCGATAATGGGTATATTGTTGACATTGATCATCTTGGTTCATGACATCCCATGCTTCAGCTTCACCATTTTGAGATTGTTCCCTTGGTTTTGCGATTTCTTTGTCCCAGTCTCTTGGGTTATCCAGCATTACCAGCTGGTTGAAGCTCTGTTCTTCCACTACACCAGGCAGTACTCTTCACACCCTTGAAAATGTACTTAATAAGTAAGACATGATTGAAAAAGACCAAGCACTCCTTGTGAGGCATTCTTATAGATGTCTATCTATTCATGTCAGATTCATGTCTAGTCAGATTATCTCTTATGGACATTTCCAGAATTACTGATATACAACCAGGCTCCAACTGATTAATTACTCTGCAAATGCATAAAGTGAAGTACTAATGCTTTACTTCATCAATACTTTACAGAAGGCATATTCCTGTAATAATTACAACCAAAAATGTTTCACTTTTGTAAAACAAAGTACAAGTTTATCTGCATTACTTATGTAATAAAGTTTGAACAGCAGTTTTGGGTACCTTATCGCCCTTTCAGTCTGTCTGATGTAATAGAACCTTGAGTTATCATTCTTAGAAGGGAAAAAGTACTCTTCATGCCATATGACATTTCTTGCTGCTCAAAACTAAAATAGTTGAGGGGGATTTTCAAGCTACTGACAAAAAAATGTATCCCCAGCCAAGACCACCTCCAGTATGAATTGCACTCCAGTGGCATAGAAGAACCAAAAAAAAGTTTGCATCTTGAGTAACAAGAGCTTGTACAAAATACATATATATATTTCATCATTGTATAAATAAAACTAAAACATTGTATAAATGTATAAATAGTATAAATACATAATTTAAAATACATTTCAATAAATGAAAATGAGAAAAATTAGGAAATTTATTAATCAGGATATTTCCCAACAAAGAAATTATGCTACAATACTACCATGCCAGAAATGAAAAGGGATTCTTTAAATATCTGCCAGGAGGGCAGTTTTTATTCACAACTTTCCTCAGTTACCATTCTGTGGAGAGGAACATCTGGGTCCCAATTTCAGAGATCCCATAGGAGTGGGCAAGTCATCCACAAAAGGACAGGTGTCACTGATAGGGGCAGAAGTAATCAATGAGCAGGGAACACAGGCAATACAACAATCTGGCACAACATTTTTTCCCAAGCCACTCTGTTTCCAGGAAAAGGAATAAGAGGGGAAGAAACTTAAAACCTTTTTTTCCCTTCAGTTTCACACCTTTGAGAAGGAAAAAAATCACCATATTCTCTAAGAGTTTTGTACTCCATCTCATATCCTTGAAATTTCAGATTAACCAGATGAGAATGAACCCAGGGAACCAGCAAATACATCTGTATTAATGAAAGCTAAAAACAAAGGCATTTTGACCTAACTGTGAACACTTTGAGGATTCTATGAGGCTTCTTTATTCCCAGTTCTGAAGAGAAAGTTTCCCCATTTATGTTCTTCCCATCTATGCTTCACCCAGGAAGGGGCTGGGCTCAGAGGTAGGCGCCCTTTCTTCTGCTCTTTTTTGGTGTGCTTTTTTTTCTGAAAGGGAAGAGACCATTTATATCCCTGTCCTAACTGTCTCACACTGGTTATTCAACATTACCCAAAAAAATTCTGATCACTGTGAATTTTGCTATGCAGATGGATATTGGCAAGGCACAACCTTTCTTTTTTAATTCATAACAAAAAAATAATAATTTATTTGGCAAACTTTGAATTTTGAAATTTGCTTACAGCAGGAAAGGGATGAGCAACTGTCAGACTTGACTGGGGCTCAATCTCAAGCTTATTGCACATCACTCAGCATGGATTAAGGGTGTCACTTCCAGCTGGAGGCATAAGTATCCTCCCAGCCATTGTAACTGATAATCCATTGTTGAAAAATAGAAAGAAGCAGTACATGGTAGCAGAGACAGGAATTGCTAGCAGAACTCATGTAATACCATATGCAGCAATGCTGCACAAGATACTCCCCTCCCATCTGCCAATCTACCTCCTCCTGCTCCCAAATTTCATTGAATGAAGGCATACTACTAGATTGAGCTTCCCCAGCCTGTTTATCAGTCTAGGAGACCCTCTCAGCATGACAACTGGTGGAATAAAGTACTTAAACAGCTTGAACAGGAAGGACAAAGATAAAAGGCTAAAAATGGTCATGGTTGAGTAGGAATGTTGTGAGGTAAGTTTTGATGCATGTTCCTCATGACCTCTCATATATCAATGGCCATTATGGCATTCCCATCACCTGGAAGTTATGACACACTCAAAACACTCAAAGAAACAGAAACTTCAGAATAACAAATGCATTATGCCAGTAACATCATTCCATGGAGATTTCCAGCTCTTTGAGTGAATCAAATCAGCTGAGTGTCTTACATGGTCTTTGAAGAGGGATAATACCAAGAGGCATAAATGAAGCACCCTGAGGCACATATAGTTTAAAATGCTTACATTTTGTTGCTGATATAATATGGTTATGCCACTTCAATCTAACCAAGATAATGAACAATAAAGAGGCAGGAAAGACATTGTATTATCCCAACATAAGAGGTAAGGACCCCTGGTATAGCATTCTCAAGTGGACCAGATGTAACTAAATCAATAGGCAAGTTGCAGAGGTTACAAATTTTAATATTAAAAAATTACTTTCCACAGCTCCTGTAAAATAGCATATAGCATTTGAGTGGACTGGGCTCTTCTTCCACAAGAAAGTTAATGAAAACTTGTTGAATCATATAGAAGCTTAAGCACAAATTAAAAAAAAAACTAAGTTGGAAGAATTTATGGCAAAAAATGTTCAAATTTCCACTCCATTCATCCCAATTACTCTTGAATTTCCCATATACTACTTTTCAGAAGAGGAAACTCCAGCATATTTAAAATTATCACACCATGAGCCATGAAAAAAATTCATTGAAGAGTTATCTTTCAGAAAGACATGACTCCTTTACTTTCTATCAAAGCAGAATATCATCTATTGAGAAACAGCACATATATGAACTAAAAACAGTAGGGAATTCTCCAGAATAAGAAATGGATGAAAGGCTCACTATCATGTATGAGGCCATGTGACAACATACCTTGAACTGATCTCTCAACTTGTGCTTCTAGGGCTTGTGGCAATTACTCTTGTGTTCCTATCTGGCACTCATAAAAATCTCATTTGTTTCATTATTTAACATTCACCATAGGCTTGAGCTAAGACAGCCCTGTATTTTGAACCAGAGGTCACACAGGATTTTAATGAGATGCATACATGAGAATTCAGGTCCTTGCCAACAATCCTTGCACCTAAACATAAAGGAGGGATAGCAAAATAGAGCTATTACCCAACTCAGTTCAATCATGGTAAATGAATGCAGTTAATGAGCTGCAATGACAAGGCAATCATATTTTGAAAAATTTATTAGCTTCTTCATGACATGCTATGAATAATGTAGGCATATTCCATGGAGAATAAAAAAGCTGACTAAGATTTTTTTTTAAAGTAGTCTCTGCACCACTATGAGTTCAAACAATGGGCATCACTTACATAAAATGCTGGATGCCACAGGATGATCATTATATCAGTTATTATCAACTCTCATGGGTAAAGAAATCACTTGATTTTACCAAGGTTCTATAACAGAAAGAGTCACCTTCAGCCACACTTATTTTAATGAATAGGTTGACAAGATCTAGGTGCTGTGCCCCTCACTTCCCTCTCTCTCCCTCCCCCATGAGTATCCCATTGCATTTTTATGACTGAAACTGAAACAAAAAAATGCAACTTTTCATGTTTAATTTACTATTAATAGCAATTATGCAATTATATAGTACACCTACAGCTTGCTTAATCCCACCCATGCCTGCCTACTTAAGGGTTCTGCTCCCACAGAGCCCTCATCTCATATTTAGCTAAACTACTCAGATTTCACCTAGCACAAAACTCAAGAGAATCAACAAGCTACATAGGCCTTTCTACTAAAGAAGGGCAAAACAATTAAGGACACATTATAAAGTAATCTTGAATCAATATAATGGATACTTACTAAGGGCATGGACAGTACCCAATGGCTCACTAATTGTATAGAGGTGCAGCACCTAGATGCTCATTTCAACCATGGCCCATTCCTCTCTCACTATCCAATTCAGACATACCTCTTTTTTTCAAGGCATTAGTAGACCTACACTTTGATGATCATAACATGCAGTCAGCAGTTCCAGAACAGTAGGAACTATGTTTCAAGATATTACAAGAGTTGCATCATTATAACAAGAAAGACTCACATGAACTGGTGAATAAAAGTAAGAGGTCACTGAGAAGGCACAAAACAAGTAACTTTCTGTATGGCATCTAGCATCTAGCATAGGTTCAATGTAATTTTTTCCAACAAAATCCTATCGTGTCCATCCAGAAATCCACCAGTGACACTAAAGAAATTTCTCACCTAGGATGTATTATACTTTCACATAATACAACAAAAAATGTGTTCAAAATTTTGAATTCAATGAACCTACCTACAGTGTGTTCAGGAGATGAATGGCCACCTGTGCCTTAATATTGGTAATCACAATTATTTTTCTCTTCTCAAAGTACAATAATGCATAAGGGTATACAAGGTGGCCATTCAAAAACTGTACACATGTGTGCCAATGAAGAGGACTATATCTAAGAAATAGCCCCCAGCAAGGGAAAGAGGAAGATCAAGCAATCCAACATGTTTTCAAAATGACGAAGTAACTGCAACACTCCAAAGAACATCTCAAACTAAAGTGTTTACAAGAAGACTCATTTAGTTCATCCAAAATTTTAAAAGTATGATGGTATTAGTGTCTATATACCTGAGGATATATTGCTGAAGTATGTACACTTGCACAATCTATTAAGATTTTAGATGAACTATATATTAGCCTGCTTGCAATCTATCAGGAAGCAGTAAATTCTTCTGCTCAAGGTGCAGGCCTACATAATTCAAGAAACCTATACAGTAAAACAAGGAAAAGTCAAGCTCATAGTGAGATGGGGAATCAACAGAGAAGTTACTGGCTCTTTTCAGCTGCATTCATCCTTAGCTCGTTCAGCCCTGCGACTACAACGGTTGCAGAAGCCCTTTCTTTTCATGTAACAGTCCCTATGAAAGACAGCACTACATTCAGGACATACAGAAGTGTTTTCTTGGAATGGAAAAAGAATATCGCCAATACAACAAAGGCCACAGATGTGCCCACGGCCATGACAGCCTTCACACTCTTGCATGATGTGAGATTGAAACTTCCCACAAACAGACTCCAGCCACTCCACCAGTGTTCCATTCACCACATCATTGAGGTCTTGCATGCTGTACATGTCAAAATTCTCAACAAAGTGTTGCCGTGGCTGAAGCAGTTGAAGAAGGTGGGACTTCATTGCAGTTTTGCAGGCAACAAGATAGCCTTTCATAACAAGGAGCTTCTCCCGCATCTGCTTGACCATGTTCAATTCTTCAATGAAGCAAAAGAGCATTGGATTGATATCTGGGATACATAGTACTGGTTTTTTCTCCATTAATTTAAGGAACTGTTTGGATGCTCGGCAAACAGGCCGTGGTTCAAAGTCCCAGTTGTGCATTACTCTTGCTGGAATGACTTCCCGATTATTCCAGTTGCAACTGGTGCAATAGTACAAACCACAATAATCACAGAGACGATGTTCAGCATGACTTATGATGACACGACATTCAGCACACCTGTAACCTTGAGCTGACAGTCCTCTTTCAGGACATATTTGTAACATGAATTCAGGCTTTTCTTCCACCTTTGTGGCTGCACAAGTACGACGAATCAAGTTTACACACTTTGCATGACAATGGTAGCCACACCTAGAACACCTGTACCAGTGGGACACCAAGCCCCAGATAAGATGACAACAGTGTTCACAATACAGATGACCTGTCCTGATGGAATTCTGTTTCTCCATTCGATGACCAAGAACAAGCTTTGTTTCAGGAGGAAGAACTACTCCATCTTGTAATTCCTGAAGCCTCAAGCGGAGCTGAACCAATTTCTTCACCAATAAGGATCTTCTCTCAGACTTCTCTGGAGTCTCCAAGATCAAGTCCTTACATCGATTAATAGCCAATTGCAGTTCCTCTTCGGACGTCAGACCAAACCAGCCTTCTGGCTGTGAAAAGTGGTTTTCATTAATGCCAATGCCAAGTTCAGCATTCAGAGAAGCTTCAATGTCAGGATCATCAGACATAGTTCGCTGACACACACTCTCACTGTCTGTATATGACATCTGCATAGGGGGAGAAGCAAAATTTGCAAGTTGGTTATAATTTATAGCACATGGCTGATGTTGCCTATAATATAGCTCACCTTTTCCTGACAGTTGGGCAGTGCACAAACTTTGTGAAACCTACATGAGGAAAACCTAGTCAATCTGTAACTGGAGAAGAGGTGAGTTACATTTGCCCAATATAAATCACAAGTTAATTGAAACTGCATTCATGATCCAATTTAAGATTATGGAAGGAATACATAAAGCATTTAATGCTGCATAAAACTTTCATTTCATTTATGCTATGTTGCAATGAAAAGGAAAGAAACAATGCACAAATTTGGAGCATAATGGATATAACATTTATCACATATCAAATTTTCAGATATATCAGGGGATAGAAAAATACCACTTGACTAGTCGAGTCAACCAGGCTGAATTGAAGGGCAACATCAAATGCATTACCATGAGCATGCAAGCTAACATGTTCTTCAGGAAGAATTTAGACTTGGGATGACCGAGACCATAGATTTTATTAGCATGGCTATCAGCATGACCAAGTCTTCCAGGGCTTAGGGCCAAAAATTACTTAGCAAAAATGTCAGAAGCATGTGAAGGTACAAAATGACTATTGTACAGGTAGGGCAAGGGGAGTTTATACCAAGCAGAAACTTAGTGTTTTTCACTTGAGTTAGACTATATTTCCCTTGACTTAGACACATGTCCATCGGACATTCCACTTGCATGAGTGGAAGTCAAGTGAGAAAATATCTGGTTCGAGTGAATAACACTGTATATGAGCGAAAGAAGTTATGGTCTCCCCATGCCTTCATATCCCGCCTGTACTCTAAAATCAAATGTAATGTTCATTTGGGCTCGAAGCCCCAGGGACAAAGTAGCACTCCCTAAGCCTGTGTGCAATGCATAGGCCCCATAGGCCCAAGTCCACTAGTTCATGCAATAATTATATAGGCCATCGTTCAGGATACCCAAAAGTAAGCCTTTAATACGATAAGCGGGCGATGTAAACGTGAACAGAAATTGAGACCTATTAACCACGTGGGCCTACGACCAGCTGGCCACCATCGTTACACAACGCTGCACATGGTGCAGTCCTCATTCTTGCGCTGCGCGTTGGATTTAATCGTCCCCATCGTCCTCCATGGATACACATGGAGTTCATACTTTTCTATTAGCCTTACAGCACTAATTGTGAACTAATAGTTCTCATGCTCTCTCTAGAGAATATTACTTCGGTTACCTGAGAAACAATTGAACATTTACGGTGTGAGATCGACAGGGGGGACAGGGAGGATTATACAAAGTAGTTAGGAATCATCAATAGGCCGCCAAATACGCCTTGCGAGGATGACGTATTTCACGCGTTGGTGAGTGGTATTGGAGATAAGTCAACGAAAGTCTTACTCTTTGGATATTTCAATATGCCTAACATCGATTGGTCTTTGCCACGAGGGGGGTGCGAGAAGCAGATGGTACGATCCAAAATGATCTCTGTTGAAGTACCGACGAGAAATAACATGTTATTAGATTTAGTTTTCTCTACGGACAACGATCTGGCATTTATTGTTGAAGTCTAGGATTAGTTGGGGTACTTGGATCATTGCATAATCGCGTGGGACATCGAACGGTCGAAATGCAACAATAGGACAATGTAGGCTTCGTATGACTATTGAAAAGCGGATTTCGAGGAAGTCCTAGAATGCATTCCCATTTCGATTGGCAGGACAGGCTACGAGGACGAACGGTAGAGGACGGTAGAGGAGCTGTGCAGAGGTTGGAGTGGACATTCGATCAGACCCCTCAAGGCCGTCAGGTGGGAGTTAGCTGCGGATAACGAAGGCATGGCCGCGATATTTCAACGACTTCTTTGCCTCTGTGTTCGCGAGCTAATGCGACGAAATCCCGACGATGACGGAAGTAATCTCGGCGTGTGTCGAGGATATAATTATCACCGAGGAAGAGATCATGATCAGGATGGGAAAGCTAAAGGCAGAAAAGGCAACCGGCCCGATGGGATTCCGGCTCGTGCCATCAAGGTACTCGCCAGGGAAGAATCGGCACCGCTAAGAATAATTTTCGAGAGTAGCCTTTCGCGTGAAGTGCCGCATGACTGGAGATTAGAGAATGTTGCACCCATCTTTAAGTAGGGAGATAAGAGCAAACCGGGGTAATTACAGGCCGGTAAGTCTCACGAGTATTCCGGGGAAGATCACGGAGATCAACCTAAAGGGATCACATCTTAAATTTCTTAGATGGGAACGCGCTTCTCCGGGACTCTCGACACGGCTGTTGGAGGGGACGAAATTATCTTACCAACCTGTTCGAGTTTTACGATTGGGTGATGGAACAAAGAATTTAACGGGAATCCCATGGACATCGTCTACTTAGATTTCGCGAAAGCTTTCGATGTCGTTCCTCATAAGAGGAAGCAGGCTAAATTGGAAGCGCACAGGATTCATGGTTGAACGAGTAATTGGATTGGTAACTGGTTGTCGGGATGAGAACTGTGAGTAGATGGTAAATGGAGAAGTGTCGATGGAAGTTCGGGTCGCAAGCGGCGTCCCTAGGGGCCCGGTCCTGGGATCTCTTCTTTTTGTGGTCTCATTAACGATTTAGATCAAGATAAAGTAACACCAGCAAATTTGCCAAGGTCAATGTCCAACGTTGCATGAATATTATAGCAGTGTTATGGCACTATGATACATTCTTAAATCGCATTTTTGAATAATATTTATGGTAGTATCATGGAGCATGCATCGTCTAATAGAGAATAACTTTCTTTTTCAAGAAACGACCAAGAACCTATCCAGTGTTACCACCCAAGTAACCCCAGATATTGGCTCAATGCTGGACCAACATTGGGCACGATGTCTATAAATCATGCCAATACAACCAATACCGGCTAAATATTGGCTTCCCGATATTTTCATTCCATCATTGATCCAATATCAGACTGACACGATGATCCAATGTGCCCAAGTTGCACGGAGAAGTTTTTTGTGGAAATGCTAAAGTTCTCCTCTAGCCACTATTTGGAGGCATGGGTCTCGCTTTTCGCACAGTACACAAAAGTTCACTTCCTTCTTTCCATGGAATCATCCCTCACAAGAGTGTTTAGTACCTCACCATATGTTTTCCTAGTATCATTATAGCAATCAATAAAATCGGACACTTAATCATTTATTATCCCCATATTCGAGACAGAATCATGAGCCTTGTTTCGACTAGAGGAAATTCCCGGGAATTTCCCGGGAAAAGAAAAAGGTGAGCCAAGTTGAAACACTCGGCCCGGGCCCTCTTTTTCGCCTCAGGCGTTTCTGCCGGGGCCGGCCCAGGCCCGGGAAATTCCTGGGCCCGGCTCGGGCTTTTACCTATTCGAACCACTTGGCCCGGGCCCTAGAGTGTCTCCTCTACCCAACTTCTACCCTCCTACTAGTCCTGCGTGAGTGTGCGCGTCATGTCCTCGTGCACTCGCTGGGAAGACCACGAAACTGAAGCTTTATTGGAACTATTCAAGGAGCACAATGTTCAATCGATATTAGATTGGGCAGCGAGAAACAACAAGGCTTATCGCCTGCCTGAAAAGCAGATACAAAACAAAGAGGAAAAACTGAAAGGTTTTAGAAATTTACCTCTACCTTATTTTTTACATGAAATTAACTAAAAATAAAATTATACCGGCAAAGAGAATTCATTGTGTTTCCATATACTGTCTTAGAAATAAAATGGTCTTTTAGAACTATTCGAAAGTAATATGCTATCAAACCATTATGCAAAAATCGAAGAGCAAGTATCCAGTGAAACCAGTGGCGGCTCGTGATATTTAGCGCTAGTGGTTCGTCTATGGAGAGGGGGTAGGCAGCAGAGGGCGCTGCCTATCCCCTCCATAGACGAACCACTAGCGCTAAATATTACGAGCCGCCACTGAGTGAAACAGCCGACCTGAGAAACTGAAACGAGGTGCGAAAAGGGTCTCCCATTCCCTCAGGGCGTGTTCCCGGGCCTTAAAAATGCTGCTGGGCCAGAAGGGTTAGACATCTAATGAGACAGCTAATTTAGCCTTGTTTCGACTATAAGAAATTCCCGGGCCTAGGTTTTCCCGGGAAACGTCATTTTTAGGCCCGGGAATTTCTTCTAGTCGAAACAAGGCTTATGACTTCGGTTTCATGCTGAGCTGTGACAGGCTTTGACAGGTTATAAAAAATGGCACCCCATGAAGGGTCCATGCCACCTGACCCTTTCTGGGACTGGACGGACTGTATCCCTGACGTTCTATACGGATGGCGCATGTTCTGTATGGAGGTGCATCTCTGCACGCCGTCCTGGATATACAGGGTGTCCCATAAGTCACTATACCATTTCAAACTGCAATATTTTCCAAACTGCGAATGCAGGTCACTGTTATAGGTCACTGTTATAGATGGGAAGATCGTTCTTTAGAATTTTTTTCTACGACAATGACTTGGAATCAGACTCAAACGGAAATAGCTTCAAATGCATATTAGAAAGGTATACTTGTTTAGGGACATTTTTGGTACACCTTGTTGAATCCTCTTCTACAAAATTGCTCAGCTTTGTTTTCCTCTCCTTCTACTTTCAGATAGACTCGAGAAACAGAAAAAAATTAATCGAATTTGCTTTCACCGTCATGAGAAAAGGCTTCGCCATTGACGCTGGAGCAATGAAGAAAAGTTTCAACCTGGAGGGAGGTACAAGGTATTTGAGAGTCCCATCAGAGTTCAAAGGGACTTCCCGCGATATTTTGGTGCTGAGCCTCATGCCAAATGTATTGAGGGCATTTTGAGGCACTTTCAAAACTCAGAAATATCTCCGTTTTTTACAAACATAATTCCAAATGACGTTTCAGTTATTGTTACTTCTTTTTTGGATCAACTGTTTAGCAAATGTGATTTTTTGAAATGGTGACTTATGGAACACCCTGTACTGTAGAACGTCAGGCATATCTGGGTTAATGGAAATCTGATGAGGGTAGCTGT